CTCAAGATCATATCATTGACACTCTCAAAGGGATTCAGACCACTATGACAGGCATGCTCGCATCAATCAACAGCCTAAATCAAAGAGTGGATAAATTGGAAACTCAGGCTCCAGCCACAGTGTGTCCCCCTAATACCGCTCCTACACAAGTTGTCAATCAAACCGTCTCACAGGGAAATGCCACAGGTACACAAATGCACAGGGTGCGGATACACACATTATCACACCAGCACACATGGTACCACACAACATCAAGAAAGATATTCTTGAGGGGAAAGACGTAAACCTTATGTCCTTACTGATACCATCACTGGATATAGTGGAAAACAATACCTGCAACTACGGTGACCTATCAGTAGTGCTCAAGGCCAAAGACCCTCGGCTGGGGAAAAAACTGTCTATACCAGATTTCGTACTCGCATTTGGGTTATATAGGGATGTCATATGCTTTAATTTTCCACAACATAGAGGGAACTGGACTTGTATATGCACAAGTTGGTAGATCTGGGAAACAAGTAAGGTGGGTCCAATTTTTATGACTACCACAAGACTTTTTCAGGCAAGGCAGTGGCAGGAGTTAGTACACTTTCTAGTCACAGGGTTCACAGAGGGTTTCCACACAGGATTGATCACACGTCCCACAGGCACACTAGAGTGCAACAACCTACAGTTGGCCACTAGAGTACCAGCAGTAGTAGATAACTTGCTGAGATCAGAGACTGAGAAAGGGTTTATGCTTGGGTCTTTTCTAAATCCACCATTCATGTGCTGGCGTACCAAGCCCTTGGGTATAGCAACTGGCAAATACAACAATAAAAAGAGATTGATAATCGATTTGTCTTCTCCACATTCTGTTGCCACTTTGCCGGGCTTGTACCACCGGCTTGCGCTATCTGCACTTGAAACTCTCACACTACCAACTTGTGCTCCAGCGAGCCCAGTTTTCCCACAACCAGCTACACAGCCCCTAGCATTAGCAGGACAGAACAGAAAGGCTTAAGGGATAAACTTGGTAGACCGATAGTGTTCTTGGGGAAAGCACAGGTGTGCAACAATTTCAATGCAGGAGGCTGCAGTTTCAGCGCCTGCAGATTGTTGCATGTCTGCTCGATCTGTTACCGAGCTCCTGCTAAGACCATGTGCCCAAATCACCTCTTCCCAAGGAAATGACTGACTGAAATTCAAGATGACACCTTAGCCTTCAATCTAAATGCACACCCCTCACAGGAGTTAGTACAATTTCTAGTCACAAGGTTCACAGACTTTTTCCACACAGGATTGATCACACTTCCTACAGGCACACTAGAGTGCAACAACCTACAGTCGGCCACTAGAGAACCAGCAGTAGTAGATAACTTGCTGAGATCAGAGACTGAGAAAGGGTTTATACTCGGGTCTTTTCTAAATCCACCATTCATGTGCTGGCGTACCAACCCCTTGGGTATAGTAACTGGCAAATACAACAATAAAAAGAGATTGATAATCGATTTGTCTGCTCCACATTCTGTCGCCATACCTAGCCTAAACTCACTCATACCATCTGAGGAGTATTCACTGCAGTATGCCACAGTAGACAACGCCATACAGGCAATCTTGAAGGCTGGGGTAGCAGCTTAGATCAGCAAAACCGACATTACCAATGCATTCAAGCTGCTTCCCATACATCCGTCACTGTAGCATCTGCATGGAGTAAAATGGAGTGGACTCTATTATTTTGCTAACCGCTTAACATTTGGAGCCAAAAGTAGCTCCAAACTTTTTGACCTATTCGCCGAGACACTGTGTTGGCTCCTGTTGAATGCCACTAGTTGTCCAGTCATAATACATTACCTGGACGATTTTTCATTGTAGAACACCCCAATACCACACCACAGAGCATGGCGAAGAGACTAGCACTATTTTCCGCACTAGGGGTGCCAGTAGCGGCCGAGAAAACAGTAGGTTCCCACCACCAACTTAACGTTTCTAGGGATATGCTTAGAATCAGTTACTATGCAAGTGAGTCACCCAGGCGATAAAGTTCAGAGAATCAAGGCAGAGGTCAAAGAGTTCCTTACAAGAGGGACTACTTCTCGGAAAGATCTACAGTCTCTACTTGGGTCCCTGAACTTTACAATAAGGATAATTTCTCAAGGAAGAACATTTATTTCAAGACTCCTTAGCCTCTTACCAAACATACCCCACAACGACAGCATCATAACACTCAATGGTCAGGCTAAGACAGATTTGGCCATGTGGAGAGAATTCTTGACACACTGGAACTGGGTTAATCTATTCATACCTCCTTTAACAGAGAACTCCCCAGTGTTGTGAAGAGGCGCAGCAGCACACTTAGGGCTCGCAGAAATTTTTGGTGATGAATGGTTCAGAGACAAATGGCCAATTGAAACAACAACTCTACCTTCATTTAATAGTACTTCTGCCCTGTTAGAAATATATCCAATAGTGGTGGCAGCGCTAGTGTGGGGCCACCAGTGGGAAGAGAAGACTATAAAATGCCTCACCAACAACATGGCAGCTAGTAACATTATTAACAAAGGCCGGTCATCTTTCCTGACAATCATGAGTCTAGTTAGGAGACTCACATGGTTAGCAGCGACACTCCATTTCCACTTGATATGTGAGCACATTCCAGGCATACACAACACAGCAGCTGATGCCCTTTCTCATTGCAATCTACAGCTTTTCTTTCAACAACATCCATCAGCCAAGAGAATACCATGCAGGTCACCACTATTCCAGGAACTCATCCTGGACTAACAACACTAATGGCACATGGGAATGCTGGCACAAACAGCACTATCAGCAAACACTAGACGTTCATACAATCGAGCACTCACTTTATTTAACAGATTTACCACAGAATATCAAATACAATATTATTTCACTAACACATACCCCAGCCACAGTACCTTCCTATCATCAAACCCAATAAAAACCATTTTAAAAGGCATCCTACCATTAGAAGGCCCCAAAACAACAAAACGACAACCGATTGATGGGGAAAGGTTCAGAGCCTTATCCGACGCATTAGGCTTACAACCCTTCGAAACAGAAACAAACACCACCATCAAAACCGCTATGTTTCTGGCATTTTACGTGTTTCTACGGCCTAACGAGTTTACAGTAGGAAACACGAATGACACCACCAGTATGCTCACAATGGGAGACCTAAACAAAGTAGGGGACCACTACGTTTTGACCCTACACACGACCAAAACAAACCCATTGACATACCGCTATTCACCACAGGCAAGTGGTGTCCTGTTAAGTCACTAGACCTATCACTTTCAACCCGCACAGGTCAAGAGAAGACTGCTCCTCTGCTACACTTACATGGCAACCCACTGACAACATCTAGCAGATGCACACACACACAAAGACATCCGCACACACAGAGGCAGACATCAACACACACAGGTAGACATCCACACACACACAGACAGGCAGACAGCCACACACACAGAAAGCCACACACACACACAGACAGCCACACACACACACACAGGCAGACATCCACACACACACACACACACAGGCAGACAGCCACACACTCACACGCAGGTAGACAGGCACACACTCACACGTAGACAGACAGCCACACACACACACACAGTCACACACACACAGTTACACACACACATGCAAACGGTCACACACACACAGTCACACACACACACACATAAGATGACAGTCACACACACAGGCAGACAGTCACACACTCACACAGGCAGACAGTCAGTCAGACAGACACACACACACACAGGCCATAACACGCACACACAGTCACACACACACACACACTGACCTGCTTCTTCCCTCCACATCCCTTGGAACTCCTGGATTCTGGTTGTTGGGGAAGCAAGGACTCCTTCCTGCTTCCCATGCTGCAGTTACCTGGCTCATTTAGCCCCACCCCCACCACACATTAAGCCCCACCGCAATATAGAGTTTTTTTCTTTTGTTTTTTTTTTATAATCCTGGTCAGCCATGTGTGAGGTGTGTCGGCCGCCTGATGCCCCCTGCTCCCACAAGGCCCTGTGCGGCCACACAGCTCGCACATGGCCGGCCGGGATTACAGGAGCCTGATCAGTGATGATTAGGGATGACAGCCCAGCCCCAGGTGCCTGGGGCCCACTGGGAAATTTCCCGGTATCTCAGTGGGCCAGTCCGGCCCTGTTACCCGAACGTCGGTTTCGGCACAGCACAAGCGACTTATACCACTACTATAACTCTGCTTCTTGTCCTGACTACAAATATATACTAAGAGGGCTACACTCACATGAATATGCATACATATCTATATTATATCTTGTATGTGCTAGCTGTCAATAATAGCTCCCACTGCACATTGCATAGTGTCACCATGTGCCGATCGTCATCTTTAAAGTGCTCAGTCACTTAAAGGTAAGAAGACATGAAGTAGTTTTGGTACCCGATCCTTTAAATATTATTTTGCATTCTGGATAGCTTATTTCTTGCCCACAAGAGATTAACCCAATCTGTATATTGTGACAGAACAAGGTCCACAAAAAAACCTTTATAGCTACATTACATTTTAAATATATTGTAATTGCAAATTGTAACAGAGTTATACAGCATTATTTCATTAAATGTACTACTATGTTTACTTTTTTCTTGTACCCCTTTTTTCTTCCTTTGCCATGTGTCAAGGGATAGTAAAGAATTTAAAATGAATGACTTTTAGCTTCTTGATCCAAGGATACATCTGATTGCCATTCTTGGGTCTAGAAGGTATTCTTTTCCAAGTTTGTTGCAAAAGTGGAAGTGCTTAAAACTATTTTTTTTGTCTTGTTCTTGATCAACAACAAAAACAGACGTGATGAAGGTGGAACTTGATGGACACGGTGTCTCTTTTCAGACTATGTAACTATATAATGGTGAAGTAATTTTAGACCACATCATACAATTTAAAAAAAAAAGTTTTTTAGCTTGTCCTCAGCTTGCCTATTTTGGTCCAAATGTAAAGTCCACTTTAAAAGTGCCATAATTATTTTCTGGCTGTCCACACCAAATATAACACAACATTAACAGTGTTATTTACTAAACTGAAAATGCAAAGTGAATTTAAAATCCGCTAAAATGGAAAAAGTCAGCTATGCTTTCAGTTTGACTAATATGGCCTTACATTTGAAATTGTTTTTAAAATATCTTACAATTCTCACTTTAGTGGGGATGGGACCCAAGCCTCGTGGCAGCTGGTCACATCTTTACAGAGCTCTTATTCACACTCCTATTTCAAGCCTTTTATTGTGGCAACCTGCACCTTCAAATGACACTATCAGTGTCCCACCAGCTGATACTGAGATGAATGATTTGGTCAGGTTTCTGCCAGTGCCTCTATCTCCTGCAAAACTGACAAGGCCTAGTGAGAACATTGGATGGGTGAGGCAGTCCTGTCCTTTGAAGCAATATCCTCTCGCAGGGACCTACAGTGTCCCTCCCCCCAGGCTGGTGTGGGTTATCCCCACTGTGCTTCCTGTTAGCTGGCCTAAATCGTGTATTCTTTGTGGCAGTGCCCTGGAACACAACTCTGCACACAGAATGGCAGGACACTCTCTCCCATCAGAGGCATGCTTCAACACTGACTACACAGCACCAGTGTGACCCTGATGAGCACTTTATGAGAACTCTAGAAGCAGTCTTTCAAGACTTTTGGGCTAAACTGGCAGCCCAATCAGATTAGAATTGGCTCAACTCCCAAGCTAGTGATCAGAAGCACAAGAATCAAAATGGCGGCAGGCCTCCCAAGGGCACTAATAGACCACAAAAATCTGTTCGATACCATGACCTTCTTAGGCTGAAGGCCACACCTCCCTTGCATTGCCTACACAAGCACTAAAAAGCAACAGACCATACCACTCCTCTGCTATCCCCTTAGATGGGAAGGACTTGGACCTTATTAGGTCTGGAGTCCGTGGATTATGGATACATGCCTATGCACAGGCCTAAGGCTATGGGGCTGCCTTCCCTAAAAGTCGCTCTGTTGATGCCTTTCCAACTACTCTGTGTGTCCTGAGACTGGAATTGGCTAAACATGGGACTCGCTACAGCTACAGCATATGATCTTTGGTGGATTACCTGGAAGGATCTATCTCCTATTCTGCATGCAACTGTTGACTTAAAATGTGTTCTATTTGATTTTATACTTTTTTTTTTTTCTTATGTTTATTTATGGTATGTGTGGAAGGGGTAATGTGATAGAACCATTAGGTGTAGTGGTACTCTCATGAGTAATGACTTAATATGTAATTTAGCATTCTTACTCTGTTACCTTCTTAGCAGTCTCCATGTCTGTAAAAACTGTTGGTTGGCAAGCTTTTATTCTAATATTTACCCAAACATGACTATTTAGTGTGTTAATATTTTAAAAATGTGCAGATTCAGTGAAATTTATATTAGCATTGCATTTTGTTTATTACAGTGATTGCTTACATACGCTGTTGTGGCAATGTCAGCTTCTTTGAATTCACATGCACAACAAAAATAAAGAATTATATATATAAAAAAAAAACTCACTTTAGTAAATAACTTTTAATGTAGCTAGACAACTGGTGCTTATAACTGTAACTAATCTCCCTAATGGAAAGTCCTTCCTTGTGTATTAAACCATAAAATTCAACAATGACACAAAATTACACTATAAATGTTTGTTGTTAGGTGAAAAAACAAATAATAAATGTAACATAATCAAGGGGCTTTATTGACTATTTTTTATTTGGTGTGCAGGTTTTAGTTTGCAGCAAGGATTTCATCAACCCAGTTTCGAAGTTTGGACACACGGGCATACACTCCTGGATAGGATGTTGAACATGTACTGCTTCCCCAGGATACAATACCAACAAGAGTCCAGGAACCATTCTCTTGGCACACAAGAGGTCCACCAGAATCACCCTGTGTAGGTTTAAAAAAAAAAAAAAAGAGAAAATATAAATAACAAAATTGTGAAATTTTCTATTTCCAGTAGAGGCCTCCATTTAGTATTGAACTCTGTAGCTTACAGGGATGAAATTAAATTTATTAATGGGAGAATCTAGTAATCTCTAACCACTATGAACCAGCCCTAACTAGCAAATATCAATCATGAGGCACTTCTTTAAAATTGCACTTATGCTGGTTCATTTAGGTCTATTGGAGGGTCATAGCAGACATCAATCCATTATTTACTGTCACAAAGCAATGCAAAAAAACAAACAAAAAAAACCAAAGCTCCACTTCATTTTAGATAAGTGTACACAATGCAGAGATGCAACAAAGGTCTGTACACCCAACCAAAGTACTCTGCTATGTTTTAGCAACCAGAGACTGGGGAGTAGGGAGGAAAAAATAGTTGCCTGCAGTGCCTTATATAATGCAAATACATATTTTATAGCTAGCCAAGTGAATTTACTAGATTTGGGCCTTGTATTTATATTTTGATGGCAGTTTAGGAATCCATTTTTCTAAAAAGTCAGCATTTTCCTATAAGCAGGATATATGCCATTTACATTTAGTGACATTAAAAGTAGATACAATGACAATAATATTATTTCAGGATCTTATTAAGAGTTGCAAGATAAAGTATAACACTTAATCTGAATTTTTTTATACCTTCCCCACCCTACCTCAACTAATATATATATACATACACACAATAAGGAGAAATAAATACAAACCATGCAGGAAGAAGATCCAGCAGCACCAGCGCAGATCATAACATCAGCGATGTAGTCACCCCAGTAGTCACTGGCACACTGTTCATTGTTCAGAAGAGGAAGAGCAGTCTGTTGGAGCTTGTTGGGAGTTAAGAATGCTATAAAGAAACATGTAGTCTTAAGTTTAATTTAAAAAAAATTGTAGTCCAGGCACTCAAGGATCAATTCAGCAGGTTTATTGGAACAGAGTGCATGTTTCGATCCCACTAGGATTTTAATAAGTGTGCAGTATTAATCTTTTTTTTGTCTATACACTATTGCCAAATTGAAACAAATAAACTGTTACCGATGATGAACTTACTATTACCCCTTCTCTTACCCTATGGGCCAATTTAGTGAATAACTCAAAACAGTTAAAAAGCAGGGTTATTTTTTCTTTATAACCACTATTATAGACTATTTTAGCTAATGTGACCACGACAATTCTTTTCCCACCTACGAAGTTCTGGCTCAAACTTTGCAAGTCATATAAGCCAAATGTCAGGAACATTTTAATCAAGTGTTGCCAAGTCCCTTCATTTACAGAAGTTTTACAATTCACACTGAAGTTAGATCAAGAGGGAGCTGTCCACAGGTATGCTTAGTTCACTCCCATTTGTTGGCGTAGGAAGTCCAATGATATGCATTGGACACTATCATATGAGAGTCCCGTTGTCTCTGAGCTAGAGTCATTATTAGTCCAGGCATCTTGGTGCCTCTCCTGTAGGACATTTGTTGTCAATATCTGCTAAGTAAACATTGCTACTGTATTAATTGCCCATGTGTCTTGCATTCCACTTGCATTAGGTGTTGGGCTTATATGTTGGAGAGGTGGAAAACAGCCAATTTCATGGTTCATATATTAGGCTAGGTCTTGACACGTCAGGCAACATCACACTGCTCCCATTATATTAACTGATTGACATATGCATCTGTGTAGAAGAATGTACAAAGACAACCTTAGAAATGGAGTTGGATACTATGAGAGTATTGGATCATTGAGAAACCTTGACATGGGCTACAGCAGCTGTGCTGGGCTCTATATTAGAGGTGCACTTTTGTCCATCTTCATACTATATAGTATATATAATGTTTTGGTGCCAGGAGGACCACGGATGCTCTCTTAAAGCATCTCAAGCAGATTAATCCCAAGTTACAGGAAGTGCAGAATGCAACTGGGAAAGGGCGCTACTGATTGGCTTAGAGCAGAAGTTGAGCATTCTAGCCAATCAACAGTGCTCCCGTCTGGCAGCATTGCGCACTTCCTATACCTCTGTTTCAAAAGCCGGATGCCACTGGGGGACTTTAAGATCCAATGCTGGAGGCAGTATTTGGGATTACATTGTTTGCGAATGGATAAAACCTCTTAAAGAAAGAAAGTGCCCGGTGGTCTCCTGGCATCATAAGTTAATTTAGATTAAATGTATTTTAGTGCTTAGACATTTTTCTTACCATTGTATCTAGTCTTTCCCCATCCACTGGTAACACACAGTCTGCCACCTTCTTGATATTGACTACCACCCAGGCAAACTGGATTAACAGTGTTCCCTAGGACAGCTGGTGTTGCTAGTTTAATCAGAGCAATATCATTGGTGATTGTATTGGAATCCCATTGTGGGTGAGTAAAAACCTTAAAAAAAAAAAAAAAGTACATTTTTACTAAAACATATCTACATAAATTAGAAAAGAAATTAGTATTAAAATCTACTTAGTTAAAAAATAATGAATAAACTATTTAGCACAAGTGTATCAACTGCATATATCTGTTAATAGTCAAATAATTAAAACAGCATTATAAGATGATTTGACTGGACTGTATCCCATAGTTGTTGCTCGGTCTGGAACAAATATTTTACAGGAAAAGTAAAGAAAAAATATAGTGCTTACTGTAGAATTACATATATGCCATTTCTTTACTTTCCCGTCCGGAACCACTATTATTGAAAAATGTGAAGAAACCACCTACCACATATATCCTAGAGGTGGGGATCATTCCACTTCATGCTATACACACCAAAGCTGGACATAGCTCTGGTAAATGTGAGTAGAATATAACCCACAAAATATTGAATATATATATCACTATATACTGTACCATTGGAGCCTTCTCTTTCCTGTTTTACATGTACTTCTGGAATCACAAGAACTCACCCCCCAAGAACTTTTTATTTTATCCAGTTTGGCTGTTCCCTTCAAGACTTTTATCCTTTCTTTTATACCATTATATTTGATTTATTGGATATTTTATTCTTGTTATCTGCATAAATTCTGGTATACTCTAACTTCTATTAGGCACAACCTTGTTCTCTTTTTTATTCTTTTTTATTGCAAACAGTGGGGTATCAAGAGGGAACCCTTACCTTATTCAGTGCTGATCCATCTGTGAAAATTCTCTATTGCAATACAATTTAGACCCCCTGGTTTGTGTACTTGAGTAATCACAAGAGTACAAACAAGAAATGGCTCCTCGTACCTTTAACTGCAAGACGATGAAGAGAAGAAAATGACAGCACAGAAAGTGTTTGAAGGAAGTATATCTCCCTCTCTATCACCTTGCAACACCAGGCAGAGAACACTAAATTTAACCCCTTAAGGACCAAACCTCTTGAATAAAAGGGAGTCATGACATGTCACACATGTCATGTGTCCTTAAGGGGTTAAGCAGCTGGGTGTTCCTGTCCTCTTTTATCAGCAATTAGACATCTGTTTTGTTTTTGTTTTTTTACTATGTACATACTTTGATAAGGAAACTATTTTTTGTATTTATTTTTTTTTGTGGAGTGAGAATGCATGGCTAAGTAGACATGCTTATGGTGATAAATTCTGCACAATATTTTTTTTATGCAAAAACTGTATAGATTTGACTATGCAAAACAATACAGTTTATTAATGAGGAAAAAAATTGATATTCAATCATGTAATAGTTAAAGGAAAAATTATAGCATTGGGAATACAAACATATTTCTAGCACTGTAGTTTGAATCTACATATTTGATACTTTGTTAATCATTTATTACTATGTAACTGTAACAGCATATTGGCTTTATATGAGAAAACAGGGAGCTGGCTGCTCTCACCTGAACATGCTCAAATAGGGTGCTGCTGGGAGCCAATTTATACAATAAAAAAGAAAATCCAGCGCACTCCCTTATCCACTAAACAGCAACTTTGGTGCTGACAGATTTTGTTTTTCTAGGCATAAAATAATGTGAGTTTAGTTACATTATATGATCATACATTGCATAAGCCTGCCACAACATCAATGTACCCCATCTTTGGCAGGTCCTACTCTAACAGCCTAATGTCTGTTTCATGAGCTACTTACTTGGGGGGAAAATTCCATCTGGAGTTCTCTGCAGTACAAGGCTAAAATAAACTCCTTGGTTTTGCACCCCTCCCTGTCACAGGTGCCTCATCCCAGGGCCCTGTTTAGCCTTGTACTGCATAAAACTCCAAATGGAATTTTTTCCCTAAGTAGCTCATGAAATGTTGTGGCAGGTTTATGCAATGTATGATCATAAGGGAGTGTGCTGGATTTTCTTTTTTTATAGCAAATTGGCTTTAGGCACAATTAATCCTTCCTATAGTTCCCACTGTTTGCAATAAAAAAAAGAAAAAGAAAAAAAGAGAACAAGGTTGTGCCTAATAGAAGTTAGAGTATACCATAATTTATGCAGATAAGAATAAAATATCCAATAAAACAAATAAAAATCAAATATAATGGTATAAAAGAAAGTATAAAAGTAGTCATATAGACTTTGCAAATTATGTCGCAATATGTTTTTTTGTGTTGAATATAGATGCCTTAAAATAGTGACACTAATATATGCCCAGTGCCCTAGATAACATAAAATTTTAGATAGGCCTCTTACCTATATGCCTAGAGATGGCTTTTGAAGAGAGATACATTAAACCTCTCTCACCATCTCTATAGTCCTTGTCCAGTATATGAGTAAGGGATAAGGGGCGACAGCTGCATAGGAATGTAACTCCAACCAATCTCACACAGGATAGTACATGTACACTTGTGTTGCTACACTGATATTAAAGGCCCCAGTCAACAATTTACCCAATACATGGCTTGGTGGCATTGTAGTCAAGGTGAACAATTTTAAGGAGATTGATGTAGATAAATAGATATTCTACTTTTAAAGGTGATCATAAACATTTTAAATGAGCGATACTCCTGGGGTTCCCAACCCAGTCCTCAAGTACCCCTTACAAGTCCAGGATTTAGGGATTACCCTGTTGTGTGTTTTTTTTTCTCATTTCTAAAAATACCTTAGACACAACTAGGTAATCCCTAAATCTTGGACTGTTAGGGGGTACTTGAGGACTGGTTTGGGAACCACTGCTGTACACTATAAATCTCTATGAAGGCCATTCCTTATTTTAAATCTAGGAAATAAGATTCTATTTAAAGGACCACTACAGGCACCCAGACCACTTCAGCTTAATGAAGTGGCCCGGGTGCCACGTCCCTCTATGCTATGTTTCACTGAGGGTTAATCCAGCGTCTAGTGGCTGTCTCACTGACAGCCGCTAGAGGTGCTTCCGCACTTCTCACTGTGAAAATCACAGTGATAAGACGCTGGACGTCCATAGGAAAGCATTGGGAAATGCTTGCTTATGGTCGGTTTGAATGCATGCGCTGCTCTTGCCGCGCATGGGTATTCTGCGCTGACGTTGGCAGGAGGTGGAGAGTTCCTGAGCGCCGAGGGAGCCCTGTGCTGGAGAAAGGTAAGTGGCTGAAGTGGGAGCGGGGCCCAGAGGGTGGGGGGGGGGTTGTTTTCCTGGCACTATAGTGGTCCTTTAAGGTTGAAACTGTGCAAACGCCTTTATGTGCTCTTATTTCAAATGAATAACTCAACTGCGCATATGTGGCAAATGTGTTGAGAGTAGTTTGAATGAGTTAGATTAAACTCACCTTGCTAATAGCAAGAGACTGAATTTGTTCAGCACTTGAGCCTCTGTCATGTTCTCCAAGCACTACCTTGTCAGAAGCCCTGTAGACAATAGTATAACAATGTAATGTATCAATTTGAAGATGCTAATTGCAATTTATACATAATATAAATGGATACACATCATAAAGGGGAACCTGTCATGACCCAAACAACTTATACTTTTTAGATTGAGCATACTTCTGCTAGCAAATGTATAAATTAGGAGAAAAACCTAATTTGACTGATGAAGGAGATCAGAGAAGACCTCCAACATGAGGTCCCTCTGCTCTAATCCCATAGGAACCACAGTGCATGTACTGTGATTGACTTGCAAACTCCCTAGCTGGCACCGGCACACTGGCAACAAAGCCATTGGGCCTACGTCACCTATGAAACTGGGATGCATCCCAAGCAGGACAAAGCAAGAAGACTTAAAGAAGAGTGAAAGGCATTCCATTGATGGATGTTACACAAAGCGCAGAACCCATGAACCGGTGATGAAATGAATGAAAAGTGAGTAAATCTTTGTATTTTACTTTGATTAGACTATGTATCTTTATGATTTATGGTGTATTAAATGTGCATGGGATCACCTTAAGTTAAGTTGTTTTTCTCATGACAGGTTCACTTTAACAAACATCATTGTAACAATGTTGTCTTTTTGCTTTGATGGTTTTGCTGTGACCACATAGTTATTATTGTTAAACATTTTATATTACAAATGGGATAATTGGATTTACCATTAACATTCATATCCATTTAAAGACTGCTTCAAAATACATTTAGGATGGAGGGATAGATAATGAGAAACAAATGATTTGTATTAGTTTTAAAATATAAGTGGTACACAAATTATATAACATACGCCACGCCACAGTGAGCAGCTGTTACAACCCAGTTTTCACTGATGAGTGATGCTCCACAAAAATGCCACCCAGTTCTATCCTGTAAGACAAGATGGATACATTAACAAAATTAAAGGCAACTCTAAGTCTAAAGGCCTTACGCAAAGCTAATATGCTATGCCCCTCCTAACAAATAATTCAATCATTACCTCAGCAAAATTGTTGGTATGCATTTTTTCAGTTCAATACTCAGGACGTAAGACTAGAACCTAGTGGACCTACATGATGTCCTTGAGTCACTAATTGACCGTGAGATTGCAGAGAATTGAGCAGTGAGACTGCAGGTGCAGTACACCAAAACTGCTCCATTAAGCAAAAGTTGTTTTTGTGAATATAGTATGCCTTTAACTAATGACAGTAAAAAGTGTCCAAGCCGCTTAAATAAAGTGGTACTATATGCAACTATTACGTTGGATACTATGGGAAAATGGGGATCCAGTTCCCAAAATGATGCTCATTTACATCTGTTTTTCAAAAAGTAAAACACAGACGCACATATAGGCTGGTGGGCAAAAAATATTAAAGCATAAAAGGTCCATAGATGCATACTAGAAATTAAATAAATTGGTTGCCTTACATTGGAGTTTGGGCATTTGATTTTAGCCAAGATTACAAACATTAAAGGGAAAAATTATGTATTTTTTTAAAAACAATTTAGTAGATATTCCCCAATGACAACATGCATGTATTGCTGCAAATGTTTTGTCTAAAGCTTCTGGAAGTGCTGCTTTTTAAGCACAGTACATAACTTATATGGCTGTCCAATTTCAGGCTTGCCAATAAATTCTAATGAGAAATCTTTCCAAGGCAGGTTCTCTGGGCAATTAATTACCTGCCTCTTGAGTTTAGCTTCAATTTGCTAACCAAACCAGGAAGTAACATGGAAAGGTTGTTGATTGATAGCAAATGGGGTGTATCAGTGTACTATAATATAGGCAGACAGTGCAGCACTATTGGTTGTCTGTTTGTTTGTATTATTCCACTGAACACTGATTTACATAAGATAGTGAAAACGTGTTTTGTTTTAGGATAAATATGATATATAGTATTGCAGTTTGCCTGATATTGACCATAACATATGCATAATGATATAATGTTATTGTGTTAGGGAAGGTGTTACTTCCTCTCACCCAACATAGTAACTCTCATATGAAGTCTCTATTGGCCTTTAAATATAAAGTATGTCCAGAATACAACAGAGATGTCTCATTACCTGAAGGGAGACTTGCCAAGGCCAGGAACCTGGAACAGCTTCCTCTCCATTCACAATTCTGGCATAGCCCGTTACCACAGGGGTAATTGCAGGCTTTCCACAGCCTGAGAAAATCAGAAAGGTAGGGTTATCAATTGCATATTTATTTTTGTTTCCTATAATAGAATTTTTCTTAAGTCTTAGGTTTACACTTAGAACCTCTACATTGTTCAATACAAGTGGGATAGAACAGAATTCATTGAGATTTTACTATGTTCCTATTGTCAATGGAAAAGCGTGACTAGGAATTTGAAATCCATTAACCCCTTAAGGGCCAAACATCTGGAATAAAATGGAATCATGACCTGTCACACATGTCATGTGTCCTTAAGGGGTTAAATAAACCTCCACTTTCCCTTCTGTTAATGTGCCTTGATCAATTGATACAGAACATGCGTTATCATGATTCTCATCACAAGGGAGTCTTCAAACAGCTGGAATACTTGATTAAAATGAGAATTGCAAAGTTTTAAGTCAGACATGTTATTAATTATTTAGTATTTAATTTGTTAGTATATTGCATTTTTTAATTATTAAAATATTTTACTGATGCAGTTATAATAAAGTTGCAACACATTTCTCTTAGTAGCTACTACGTGTTTTCTCTTTTTATGATTAACGAAGACAATTTAACATTTTTATTAGGACAATGATTTTGAAACATACAGGATTATTTACTAAAGTGAGAATTCATGATAAATTGAAAGCAAATTTGATTTCTTTTCTATTTAAAAAAATACAATTATTTGCAATTTTCAGTGCAATGGTAAATAACACATTGCACTGTGTTACATTGGTGATCAGTATAAGTTACATGTGTTAACATGACAAAGCAGTTATCATTACATGCATTCATGTACATTACACTATATTTTGCAATGCCGAGTAATTTCAGTAGAACTTGGGGAAGGGAGGGGGGGTAGGGGAGTAGATAGCGGTTAAAAGGGATATGTGGTGGTGGGTGGACTGACAAACCATCATGCCATCACTAGTGTTATCCAGCACTTCAACTGTTCCCTCAGACATTTAACAATTTATCCGATTTGAAACTGTTTTATCAGATTTTAAACAGGTGTATCAATTGGAGTTTAGACCTCCCCTGTACGCCTTTTAAGGAGTGCGAGTGTGATGTGTATCTAATCTTTGCTTCAGCATAGTGTTATATTTGATGGAGCATGTGGTCAGAATTCTGGTCTCCAAGCTACGATACCCAACATATCTAGTGTGACGCCTACCGAATAAATGGTTACCCATGCTGTTTCACATCATAGTCATCTGTATGACCACAGCTGTTGGAATCATAGTCTCTGTCTCAGACATATTTAGATACTTTCCCAGGATCAATAGGGTTCTATATAAATGAGCTCAAGTGCAGGAGGTGGCAGTAAATGTGTTTACTCTTTAGCTGTTGCTGTGGGGGATAATTGCATCATTGTTACTGGGAGTGTACTGACCATATGATGGTGTGGGAGTTTAGTGAGAGGTAGTACTCCCATGATGCCCAAGCTGCTGTTACAAATGTTTTGGGGGGGTAAATTCTTTCTTGCCTATGTTTCACATTGCCTCGTTGTATCCAGTGTTTGGATGCATTGTATGATAGTTGGCATTTTGGGTGATCGTCACATTCTACATATTGTTGTTAGGTATTTATGGTCTTTTGGGAGGCACTTCGGGAACAGGTGGAATAGATACAGTTCTGGTTGTTTCAGTACTGCTATCCACGATCACTTATGTATTTAGAAAATTGGGCAGACTAGATGGGCCGAATGGTTCTTATCTGCTGTCACATGCTATGTTTCTATGTATGAGCTGTTCTACTTCAGTCCAGAATGTTGTTAAGTGAGAACAGGGCCACCAAATATGGAGCATTGTTCCTGGTTCGGACATACAGCGCCAGTTATCCAACCAGCCTAGGTTGCTGTGTTTTAATCATGTGGGTACTAGATACCATCTGTACAAGATCTTTCTGGCAAACTCTACATGGGACATTTTTTGCCATTGATTTTCGCTAGGTGGGCGATTTAGTGCTCGTTCCTATACTTTTACTTGTTTGGTTCGAACTTTCAGCGTATATGATGGAGATTAATTTAACAGGTGGTTGTAAGTGGAGACATATTCTTTCTATAGGGAAAAAAAGAGAGAAGTACTATATAATATCCCAAACAAAGACCAGAAAGCAGTGCCAAAACACCCAAAAGTGTACCTCACATACACCAATATAATATGAACAAAGTGGTAAATCTATACTGTATCAAATACTAGTGTAGATTAAAGGGGTAGCACAAAAATCATGAATACAACACAGTTCTTCAAAGAATCTAGAATATGAAAGAAATCACATAATAGTGAAGCATGTACAGAGATATATGATTCAATCCCGTAGGTAGAGAACTTACAAGACCACACTGTAGATCTGCGCTTATCTCCCTTCCATAGGTATATAAATAGCGTTTCCTTTCTCAATACACTTGTATGTGTAGACCAAAGGCGTAGATTCAGAACACCCAATCCTCAAAGGAAAAGAGGTATATAGAGCAGTATTGCAAAAACAGAGATGAATTTATTGGTACAAATTGCACTTACATCAAGTGAAGATTATAGCAGCATATCACCACTCACAAGTGGTACCAAGGAGAAGGAGTCCCTCTATGGTAGTGTAAGAAAGATATGTAATATAAATATAATAAAAACAATAAGAGAAACAATAAAATAACAAAAAAAGAATAAATGTTTCTGATCAATATCCAACGCGTTTCGTCTTGTAGACTTCTTCAGGGATAAAAGTTTATTTTTATTACATATATTTCTTACACTACCATAGAGGGACTCCTTCTCCTTGGTACCACTTGTGAGTGGTGATATGCTGCTATAATCTTCACTTGATGTAAGTGCAATTTGTACTAATAAATTCATCTCTGTTTTTGCAATACTGCTCTATATACCTCTTTTCCTTTGAGGATTGGGTGTTCTGAATCTATGCCTTTGGTCTACACATACAAGTCTATTGAGAAAGGAAACGCTATTTATATACCCTATGGAAGGGAGATAAGCGCAGATCTACAGTGTGGTCTTGTAAGTTCTCTACCTACGGGATTGAATCATATATCTCTGTACATGCTTCACTATTATGTGATTTCTTTCATATTCTAGATTCTTTGAAGAACTGTGTTGTATTATATACAGGTTGTATGGTTCATGATTTTTGTGCTACCCCTTTAATCTACACTAGTATTTGATACAGTATAGATTTACCCCTTTGTTCATATTCTTTCTATGTCTGTCAGCTGTATGCCATTTACAATACCAAGTGACAGAATAGTTTTTGTTTTTTTTTGACCATGAGAGCATTTGTGTATGTGAAAATGTTGCCGTATGGGCAGTCCTTATTGTTTCTGTAATTCCTCAAAGTTTCATAAACTGGTCCCTTGAAATATGTTGTAGAGGTGTGTGATGCTGTGTCTATGCCATATTTTATGGTTAAAGTCTGGGATGAGGGAGGGTAGCGCAGCAAGGGGAAGTGCAAGCGAGATCCCCTTGTGTAAAGCATGTGTGGCTTAGAATTGACCCCATATTTGGAGTGTGTCAGGTTCCTATATTGACAAGCAAGACTTTTCTGTTTATTAGCGTCCCTTTAAATACAGTTCCTGGTTTTCACCTCCAGTGGCCTACCTAGCCACTAGTCACCTCATACTCACCTGTATCCTATGTAATACAGTTTTGCTATAAATGGCAACACCCAACAAAGCAAGAGGCCTTTACTAACGCCGTCCATTGACATTCATTGAAACTTCACCCTACAAAGCTCAAATTTGAAGTGCAATTTCTAAACTGCGACTGTGCCTTCATTTTTAATACTTCAGAGACATACTATGCATCAAATTGTAGGGCTGGTTCTTGTGATTCTCACAATATAAAGCTCTTCACCGTAGGATTTATAGTTTTTAAAATACGACCATTTGAAGATGGCAACCGCCAAAATACTTTGACCTGTGCCAGGCTGCAGCAGCAAGTGATGTCATAGACAGGGCCTTTTGAACATCTGCTAATGTTTTTATAAATGTATGGTTTAATGTAACTGTGCAACAACGTTGCAATTAAATGTGCTATATAAATGATAACAGTTACTCCGCCCACTCCAGTTGTAGACTACTGGTGGAGGCAAGAACACTTCACACAATTTCCCCAGAAATTGTAGCTTTTCTAGTTCTCCTTATTATTTATTCTACAAATTATTATACTGTTGTAATTTCAAAAGCTACAAATAAAGCCACTTCAGTCAACTCTGGCAATCGTCTCCCACCTGACCTGATTGAGAGCATGACAGAGTGTGAGTCTAGTTATTGGGAGTATGTCTCTAGTTTTGGGTCTCAACTTTTTGGGCATCCATGCTAGCGCTGTAAGAGTAATATCATTGGTGAAGGCTACTTCGATATCAAGCCAATGGGAAGTTTTCGGTGGCTACTTGCTGTTTATGACTGCTTTATAATGACCCCTGGTATTCGGTAGTCCAATCCCACCTTGTGAGAAGGGTTTGTATAAGGTAGATTTAGCTAATCTTAGCTTCGAGTTATTCAATATGAAGTTATTAATAAGTGACTGTGCTTCCCGAAAGTATCGGTTTGGGAGCCAGAGCGGTAGGGTGCGGAATAAGTACTGGAACCTCGGGATGATTAACATTTTAATGGCTGCTATTCTATCCGTCCACGATATAAATTTCCCTTTCCAACCCTGTAGTTTTTTTGTTTTTTGTCAGTTAGCAGGCTTAGATAATTTGCCTTGAGGAGGCCAGAGATCTGTGGTGTTATGGCTAAACCTAGAAATTTCAAGAAGTCGGTACGCCATTCGTATGCAAATGTGCTTTGTAAGTTTGTCAGTGTGTATTTGGGAATATTAATGCCAACAGCCTGTCTTTTTGAGAGGTTGAATTTATAATATGAGCATTTGCTGTATGGTAGGAGTATATTGTGGAAGTTCAGGAGGGAGACGTTGGGTTGTTTAATTGTTAACCTTATTCACAGACGATATACTATTAATTTATACTCTTGGTTTTTTATCTTAACCCTATGTATGTTGGGATTGTCTCTAATTAGCTGGGTCAAGGGTTCTAATGCCAAAATGTAGAGGATGGGGGAGAGTGAACAGCCCTGTCGTGAGCCATTGGTAATCATAAAGCTGCGGGACATGAAGCCTCCATTGACTACTTCTGCTGATGGATGAGAGTAGAGTGCATTCACCAGAGAGATGAACTTTGGGGGGAACCCAAATCTCTCTAGGAGCGCGAGGAAGAAGGGCCAGTGGAGCCAATCAAAGGCTTTTTCTGCATCGAGTGAAAGGTATACACTCAGGGTCCCTCCCTCCTAACAAAGTGGTACCATCAGCGCCCTGGCACCCATTCATGAACCCCACTTGATCTGCATGAATGATCGTGGGGATAATTTGGGTTAATCTGTTGGAGTATATTTTGGCAAGTAGTTTAGTATCCATATTAAGCAGTGAGAACAGTCGTAAATTTTTGCCTTTGGTGGGAGGTTTCCCTGGTTTAGGGAGAGTGGCCACATGCACCATCAGCATCTCGTGCGGCATGTTTTCCATTTTTATTATGTGATTGTATACTGATTCTAATCTCAGGGCGAGGATGTGAGAGAAGAGTTTATAATACAAGTTTGAGAGGCCATCCGGCCCAGGTGATTTACCCGGTGGCAGGGATGCAATGATCTGGGAAATTTTGCAGTATTCAATATGACTTTGTAGTATCTCCTGTTGTGGGGTTAGTGACTGTAGGGACGTGAGGTCCAGGAGGTCTTCAGTCTTTGAGGTAGTTGGGTGGTGAGTGTTATCATTTTTGAGGTTGTATAGGGCATGGTAGAAGGTGGCCATTTCATTGTTTAGATCTTGGGGGTTATATAACTTTTTATAAGTGTTTGTTGTTAGGTATGGTATTTTGGATTGTGTTTGTTTCTTTCTTAACATTGTTGCAAGTGTTTCCCCTGCTTTGTTCCCCACAGGGTAATTTGTAATTTTCAGGTGTCGGAGTGTGTCGGAGTGTGTGGGTTGTTTTGGATAGATGAATTTCATTTATGCGATTTGTTTTGTCAGCTTTGTGTTTTAGGAATGAGGCTTGGCTAAGCAGTAGTCCCCTAATGGTAGGCTTGTGGGCTTGCCAAAGAGAGCGCAAGGAGATATCCGGGGTGTTATTGAGTTATTAATATAACATCCCATTTTTATCACCTTTTATCAATTTTATTTTAATTTACTTTAATCTACATTTTATCTATTTACATAAGTCCCCCCAACCCCCTTTAACAGTACAAGCTTACATCACAAATATTTGTTTTATTTATGTCTACTTTATTTTATTTCTACTTTTTCATTATGTTTTTACTGTCATCATTTATATTTTATACTGTGCCATAATTTATGCCTTGTTGCTTGTATGTATGTCCATCTACACTTCCCCACTAGATTTTAGTACAAACAGAATTGTACCTTTCCCCAATTCCTAGTACTCATATTTCATACATATATGTCCATTTGGTACTATTATTATTTTTTAATCTGCCCCACTTAATAGTGTCCTATGTATAGTCCTGTTTATTAATAGATATCCAATCTATCATGCTATCAGCAACATGCAAAAGCCAAGCACTTTCCAAACAAAATATTCGGAAGAAGCAATCAGAGTGGAATATTAACCATCATGCCATCAAAAGCAGTATATATAACAATCCTGTACATTGTCCTTGTTAAAAGGAACAATGTCCTTCTCTAATATTGTGAGCCATAAAATGATATGCCAAATATCTTTACAAAAACTACTGGGATGGAAAAAACTGGAATTGATCACAAACTTCCCCCAGCAACTAACTGTAACCCAGTTATCTATTGTTCCTCCTGTTCACTAACTGACTTATCTGCTCCTATGCTTCTAAATGTTCTCTCTAACCCTTTTCAGTATTGTCAATCTTCCTCTGCAGTCTGTATCTCTATATCTACTTGCTTTTCAATATGAGCAACATGCTCACATTTGCTTCAGAGATGTGGACCATAAAAAAATTATTCCATTCATGAATTCTCTATTCTTGCTATTATTCACTATCCCAGGGGTAAACCAACATTAGTGGAGGAAAGTAAAAATAAAATAAAAAACACTGCATTGCTCTACTTCTCAAGTTATTCTTGCTATAAAAAAAAATCTACTTTAAAATGTTCCTACAAATAAATAAATAAAAAATAGATAATGGCTCCACTCTTTAAAACCTAATTCTCTGGACAGAAGATTATTTGAAATAAAAATGTATTGAGACATTATGCAATATTTATCAACCTACAAAATGAATAAGAACAATTAAAACCACTCTTTTCCTCAAACACAGAAAATGTGCACATGAAAGAAAATGTCTACATTTATGCTAACTATGTTCACCTATTATCATTTTCATTTAAATATGAAGCAGAACTCCGTTTACTTTAAGACTGTCCAAAAGTCAAAATGTCCTCAGCAAATAAGTGAGAGATTCCATTCTTTAAGATTATGTCCCAATACTCAAATATTCAAATGATTAAAAATGGCAGCACCATAGAACTTACCATGAACGGCAGTGAATAAAGCCAGACAGGATAGAATGCAGAGGAAACCCATTACGAAATCTTGGTGGTAGCTTTGTACTGGATGGCCAGTTATATGGACTTATATAATGGGATACTGTTCCGATAATTATTAATCCAAGGACAACAAACAAAACCCTCCTCTTGAAATTTCCATTTCTAAAGCCAGCTCATCACAACAATCATGCATATGTTATCAAAGTTTTTGCCGGTTAGAGATATGACTAACAAGTGCAGGACAGAAAGATATTGAGTACAATATCAGGAATATCAACAAAATTGTGTATAATATGACTACCCTTTCATCATTGTTCTCTCAAAAGTTTACATAAATATAAAACTACACTTTTTTTAAAAAAAAAAGTGCATTTGAAAAGCAATTCAACTATACAAATATCTTCAAGCATTTGTATTTTAGTTCAAAGAACAGGTAGAACAAAATAGTGAATAACGTGTGCTTTGCTTCTACGTTTGGGACAACCATTTTTTTTTTTCCCCAATATTTAAACTTTACCACCACAAATGTTATCCATGAGCTGGTGTTACCAGTTCAATTACCTAGCAACTAACTCTAGCACCTGACCTTTTTTAAATAAATAAATAAAATAGTCCCATTGTCACTAAATCTCTGGTTTTACTTCTTTCAAAAGCTATGGGTCACAAAGCATAGCCATCAATCAATAAAAAATACATTTAAAAAATCCTCTCCTTGTTTTCCCTATCCCTAAAACTCCCTACCATCCTTGTTTTTAATAAATATAAATAGGAGGTGGATTAAATAAAAAAAAAAGTAAACAAACCTTGCAAAAAGAAATGGTCGATAAATGGAAATATGGAACTCCCATACAGATATACACATGGGTAGGATAAACATTTTCCCATGACTGTACAAATAATCCAGAGGTAATTCACTAAGTTTAAAAGAAATACAATTTTACCAGAAGAAAGGCTTCCTGGTTGTTTTTTTTTTTTTTTATCAGGTTCAGGTAATTATCATTTGTTGACCCAATTTAAATACTATTTACAAAAAAAAAGTATGGTTAGCGTTTTAGTAGGTAGACTATTTTATTTCCCCCAGTTGTTTCTTTTTTTTTTTTTCAAATCACATTGCATCCACAGGCAAGTCTCATTTGCTAATGGAGATATGTTTTTTTCCTTCCTTATTTAATGATTAATGTAGGAAGATATTCCAGTTGGTAAATTTATCATTTTGTGCTTGTTTCCAATCTTGCCGCTCATTTTTATCAGCACTCCTCTAGTCACTAATGTGTGTTTCACTACTGTTAGCAAATAGTGGTTGTTTACTAACTCAAAAACTTCACAAGTAGGTATCGAGAGAGTTACCAGTTGTGCAAATGAAAGTCAGCCACTACGAGAGCCAGTAACTGATACTTGGTGACTGGTTTCATCAACAGCTTCTTCTCATCCTCCGCAATATCGGTCTACAAGATATTGCTCTCTCCTGGTGCTCCTCCTGCCTCTCCCAGCGCTCTTTCAGTGCTTCTTTCTCTGGCTCTGCTTCTTCTCCCAAACTCCTCTCTGTTAGTGTGCCCCAAGGTTCCGTCCTTGGTCCCCTACTGTTCTCCATCTATATTGCCTCCCTTGGTAAACTCATTAGCTCCTTTGGCTTCCAACATAATTTCTATACAGATGACACCCAAATCTATCTGTCCTCTCCTGATCTCTCCCAATCCCTCTTGACTATGTCTCTGACTGCCTCTCTGCTATTTCTGGCTGCCCACTTCCTTAAACGCAACTTGACCAAAACTGAAATTCTGGTCTTTCCTCCCTCAAGTGTTGCTACTCCTGTGTCTCCCTCCAAGTCAACGGTGATCCCATCAGCTCCACCATGCAGGCTCACTGCCTAGGTGTTCTCTTTGACTCTGACCTCTCCTTAATGCCTCATGTTTAGTCTATCGCCAAATCCTGCCACTTCCATCTCAAAAACATTGCACGCATCTGCCCCTACTTAACGCCAGATGCGACTAAGGTGCTGGTCCATTCCACTGTCCTTTCTCGCCTTGACTACTGTGATCCGCTTCTCAGTGATCTTACGTGCTCCCAAATTGCGCCGTTACAGTCCATAATGAATGCAGCGGCGAGGCTCATCTTCCTGTCTGCCCGCAAATTTCCCACGCATCACCCTCCAGTCAGTCCCTACATTGGCTTTCCTGTAAGATATAGGGCTCAATTTAAAATTCTGGTTCTTGCTTTCAAATCTCTAGATAATGCTGCTCCCACCTATCTATCCTCCCTAATACACAAGTATGTCCCATTTAGGCCCTTACATTCTGCTGAAGACTTACGTGGATCTTCTGTCTGTACTCTGACTTCTGATGCTCGCCTTGAAGACTTCTCGAGGGCTGCACCGTTTCTGTGGAACTCACTTCCCTCCTCCGTTATATGCTCACCCAGTCTCCACTCCTTCAAAAAAATCATTAAAAACCCACTTCCTCATGAAAGCATATCAATTAAACTGTTAATAGCTCCCGACTGATTCCTCTCTTGCAACTGTCATTAGTCTAATACAATCCTTACTTTTTTTTTTTTCAATTCTTTATTTTATTTGTGAATAACATGAACAATCATGTTTGCACTGCCACAATAGCTGGTGCAAGCAATTATGTAAACAAAGATTAACATTGGTATGGCATTGAAAAACATTGCACATTTTCTATTATAGTCAGAATAGGAAACATGTTAAGGGTTAAACAAGCTTATATGATTCGACTCACTGATAGCCTGAGATAGTAGTTGATTGCCTATGGATGAGTTAACGCCGTTAAAGTCTTAATGCTTCATGCTAGATTGTCGTGTGGTAGACCTAGTGAAATGCTACATGCTAAGAGCTAGGCACAACAAATTAAACAGTATAGTGAGGCTTAACACATCTCAACACATAACACATAGTTCTGCGCAGTTTATCCAGTACAGTTGGAATGTCCTAGTGTGCTATGTGATGGCATGTTGTATGTACTGATGAATAGTGTGTTAGTGCCTTCAATGATTCAATGGAAGCAATGCTATGTGTCAGGCATGTTGTGCACTATACGTAAGAGGGAAAAGTGGAACATAAGGCAGAGGATTATAGTAGACCAGGCTGCAGTGTGTTATTAAACAGGCTATGTTAGTCACCAGTCTGTTATGGCAATGCAGAGTGAAAGCAGGCTAAAGATAACTGTATGGTCGGGCTTGTGGGAAGCAGCATGGACAGTTCAAGTGGCGTGTCATGTTGGTGTTAAATCTCACTGCCAGGGGCGTCTGCGAGCAGGTCCTACTGATCGATGAATCCGCTTTCAGCCAATGCCTCTGCAGGGTAGTGAGGTAACTCGCGCTGGAAGTGTCCCCGGGTGTAGGGTGAGGTGCTGATGTTGGGGAGCCGCTCTCCCGTCCCAGGCCGTTGAGAAGGCCAGCACCTGCAAGCCACAGACTCGGGGGCTCTTGGAGGACGGGTCTGTCCCTTTTATGGGCATCCTGGAATGCCCGGTGTTCTGCCACTGCCCGTGGAGGTCGGGCTTCCAGCGGTGTGGTCGGTGCCGTGGAGTTGTTCTCCGCTTAGCCTTCGGCCCAGGATGGCTTGTTGTGTGAGTATTGGTTGTGGCTCTGAGTTGTGTGCCTGAGTGAAGACCGTTACTTTTCCGCACCTCCCATCCTTCTACCTTTTTCTCGGAGGCTGAGTGTGCAAGCTTGTTACGGTGCTCCAGTCTGTCCCAAAAGCGCTGGAGTAACATGTCTAGTTGCACCTGGTATTGCTCCATTGGATTGATCTGCTTTCCAGCAGGTTGCGTTAGTGTGGGCCCTGCTGGGGGTGGCGTTACGTTATGCCTCGGGCTGGTGGAGACCGGGATGACCTCCACCGGTCCATGGGGGGGAACGGGGGTTCAGGCTTTTCCGTGTTGCAGCTAGTGGGCACAGGAGAGTGGCAGTCTCCCCCGTGCTATCCAAGTGAGTAGGCCACAGAGGCCGATATGGAGGTGCCGTCCAATTGGGCCACATGGGTAGTATCCGCACTTAGGTTTCAGTTTCGTCTGGCTTGCTATGGACAATACTTGTCTGGACTCCGCTTCCCCAAGCAGTTTATCGGCTTAATTAGTCGCTCGCTGCTGGAGCCATAAGGAGACACGTCCGCTCTGCGGTCAGGCCCCGCTCCCACTATCTTTACCTTTTATGTCACTTTACCCCAATCCCTCTAGCACAGGGGTTCTCAACGTTAGTCCTCAGGACCCCCTACCAGTCCATGGTTTAGGGATTACCTGGGTGTGTCTAAGGTGTTTAGAAAAAGGGGAAAAAAACACCTTTTGAGTCTAAGGTGTTTTTTTCCCTTTTTCTAAACACCTGAGACACACCCAGGTAATCCCCAAATCCTGGACTGGTAGGGGGTCCTGAGGACTGGGTTGAGAACCCCTGCTCTATCATGTAAGCTAATTGAGCAGGGCCCTCAACCCTTCTGTTCTTGTGTGTCTAACTTGTCTGGTTACAACTACATGTTTGTTCGTCCACCCACTGTAAAGTGCTGTGGAATTTGTTGGCGCTATATAAATAACAACATGATAATAATAATAATAGTTTTGAACCTTGTTACTAATCATTACTGTTAACCCCACAAAACATAACATTAACCTTTGGAAAGAAATTAATAACAACTAAGTTGCAATCAGTGGCGGATCCAGAGCCTGATCTCGGGAGGGGCACTTGTAGATTATTTAAAGAAATAATCCAGGCACAATAACCACTACAGCTCAGTGTAGTAGTTATGGTGCCAGTAGTGCCAAGATCCTGTCCTAGAGTAAGTAGTGAAACCGTTTAAGAACAGTTTGACAACTTACCTGGGGTCTGCTGGGATATTGGGCATAGGAGCAGTGGTAGGGGTGAAGTGTGTGTGAAAGGTGTAGTGTTTGTGTGTGAGCGGTGAAGTGTGTGTGTGTGAGGGCGGCAGTGTAGGTCAGGGTTGTAGTCTGTGTGTTAGGGGGCAGTGTATATGTGGGGCAGTGTGTGTGTGTGTGTGTGTGTGTGTGTGTGTGAGCGGTGCAGTGTGTGTGTGAGGGTGGAAGTGCGTGTGAGTTGCATTGTGTGTGTGTTTGGGGCAGTGTGTGTAGTGTGTGTATGGGTGTGCAGTGTGTACAGGGGCCATGTGTGTAGTGTGTGTATGGG